AAAGGTAAACTGTCGGAAATGTGTCATCCAATTATAGGCACATTAACTACTAATTTTTTTCTGTCTTCTTTTCTTCCTCTTTCATAAATTATGCGACAATGAAGGAAAAACTGTTTGCTAAAATATAATCAGATCATTTTCGGTCATCAGACAACAAATAACCAACTCAAAAATGTTACTTTTTTTTTTGGCGCATTTACATAAAAAGGCAAAAAAGGCAAAAAAAAAAAAAAAAGCAAAGTCTATTTTTTTAATCCAAAAATTAACAATTAACTATTTTTTTTTGTTGTTGTTTGTAAGTCTGTGTCTGTTTGTATGCTATTAATAACCCAAATATTTTTGGTATGTCGGGTTAGCCTTTTTGCTTCCTAACCGTTCCACTCCCTTTTCATTCGTTGCCATATATAAAGGCTGCCATAGATTATAACATTTAAAAAAGAACAAAAAAAAAAAGAAAAAATTCTTTTCTTTTCTTTTTTTTTTGTTATTTGTTTGTTTATTTAAAATACTAATTTGGCTGTCATTAAGAAAAAAAGAAAAGAACAAAAATAAGAATGGTTGTTAATGAAAGAAAGGTTTCTTCTCTTTTTTTTTTCATTTTGCAAAGATTTACCAATACAGGAAGAAGGTGAAAAGACCCAATGACAACAGAATAGAACACACACACACACACATAAAAATAGAAACAGAAATACGTAAAAATATGTAAATATCTTTTCAATATTTTCTTTCAAATATTCACAAATATTTATGTTTTTCAAATACCGTAATTCTGTGCAATTTTTTGTTGTTCACCTGTAAATGATAAACTTTTTTTTTTTTGCCGAATAACCTTCAATTAAGAAAATAAAAACTGCAGCAGTTGTTGGCCAACAAACAACCTGTAAAGTTACCAAAAAACAACATTTTGTTTGAACAATATTGACAGTGCATAAAAATAATGTTAGGATGATTTTTTTTTCAGACAGAACGCATACGATAACACTTTAGATGAATTTTACACCAAAAAAAAAGGTGGAAAAAAAAACGATGGAATTATTCAGTCTGTTTGTGTGTATTTATTGCAAAAAAGAAAAAACTCTTATCAATTGGATATACCTGTGAAAAAGCTGGAGAAAAATATCCCTACACTGAGGTTTCAACAATCAGAATTTAACTCATCAACGTACAAAAGAAAAAAGAGAAAAAAAACAATGAAGACATTGCCCCGGTTAAGTGACCGTTTCAAATTAGAAAAGAAAAAACTTGCTTATTAGAAGATTTTTTTTTGTTTTTTTGTTTTAAACTAAAAACCCTAATAAAAACAAATCTATTTGCTATGTATAGTAGTTGTAATGAAAAATTATTTTGTGTGAATATTTATGTATCATTAGATAGATGGATATATAGACATCTATAGATGTATGTGTGTGTGTGTGTGTGTGTATAGTATTTATGTTTAATTTGCGTGTAATAGTACCATTTAAAGCTCAAAAGCATATTTATTTCTACTCTATGTAAACATGCTATATGCTTAACCATTTAGTTGTTGTTAGTCAATCAAGAATATAATTAAAAAAAAAAAAAAAAAAAAAAAAAAAAAAAAA